AATTTGGCTGTCGGCTGTTCGAAAACTTCCCGCTTTCAGGGTTTAATTACCAATTCGTGTTGGCTTCAATATTTGATGCCCTCTGATATCACCAGGCATCATCTAATAAGCGTTGCATGCTGATATTTCCGACGAGCATTCCAGCCAAGACTTATCCCTTTTCAACACCGCACTCGAAGCAGAGACAGCACGCAACGGTAACGTGGATTCGTGGAGGACTCCAAAAAGGGTATGATGAAACTGGTAGCATTACATGCTTGAGCCTCATTATACTTGATTACTAAACCATGCCGTTAACTTGCTGGGTCTTCTGGGTTTGGGGAATATATGCAAGCATGTTCGAAGACTGCAACTTGAATTGGATGCCCCTGTTCCGCGAATGGACAAAATCCCGAGAAAGACAATAATTTCGTTCTTGCGGTAGATGGAATAGACCGTAGCTATTCCATCCAAGGACGACTCATGTTACTTTTAGGTGAAGGACGGAGACGGTACAGAATATGAAGAGAGGAGAAACAACGTTACTTCACAACGAGGTCCACAAACTGAACATAAATCTGCCAACAGCCTCTCAAGACCAGCAGCCGACGTGGTAGACAACTTGACTACGCGCTCAGAAATAGGACACGTACCAATGAACCCCTACCCACAATGTCTGTCCACTCCCGGCTTGCCGCCTTATCTTGAGTCAGACGGGACTACACTGCGATACATTGCTTGTTTTTTCTTCTTTTTTTTTTCTTGTTTTTTTTTATGTTGTTTATGTTTTTGGTTGGTTGGTTGGTTCTTCGTTCATAGGTGGAACAGGCAAGCTTCAGAGTTCTTATTGTTCTGCGAAAGAAATGCTATCCTCCGGTTAAAGTGATATAGAACAATGGCAAGAGTTTGTAATACTACAAAAGACTCTGGTAGGTGTCTCCTTATATTGCTCTTCATCTCCTCCAAGGCCTTCAGGACCGGAAGATATCAGTCTCAAAGCGTTACGCGATATAAACCTGCACGCTTTTCTAGATCTATCAAAGCTTTGGATCCTTTGTACCAGACCAAGAAACAAACCAGGGCTGGGTTGTACACCATAGAGGTAACCAGCCCCTACCTAGCTCGTGATCTCTTCGTATCTGCGGCTCGGCGAGCCGCGGAATTACCTGTTCACTGTTTCCCCAGGAACGAACGGGTCCTTACATGACGGTTCTGGCCCTGGCTAGTGAAAGAATGGTGAACTGATGACGTGCTTATAAGGTAGACGGATCACGGCTATTTGCTGGGCTGGTATGATGGAAGTTGTGATAAGCCGGCTGGACTGACTACGTATCTGGCAGTCGCCTTTTCTTTTTTTTCTCTTTTTTTCTTTCTTTTTTTTTCTTTCCATGAGGTTTGGCTTCCATCATTCCTACCACCTAGCCAACGGAAACAACACCCTTGTTCTTCTTGATTGATGAACTTTGGTTGGATGCTGTGGCAAGGTGTAGATGATGGGTGATGATGACCATACCTATTAATTATACCCAAGGTCTGCCGGCGATGAGTGACTTGAAGAGACACCCCTATTTCTGAATTCTGTGTAACGGCAACCAAACTGGGAATCAGTCGATGTTTGCGGATTAAAGGTTGATGTACATTGCCGGTTAGTTGTGAGGGCACTGGAATACGTTCAACGGGATCAATAGCTCGAGTCATGATGTTGTTTCGTTGCAGCTTCCAATATTCGCAACCACTGAAAATACATGAGAGGTTGAGATGTCATTGTGGAAAACAAACTTGGGTTCTAACAATCCGATGATACTATAGCTACGCCACCCCATCGGCTTTGATGCTTTCCAGACTTTGAGTAGACCGTTCCTAACATTGTGACATCTTGTCTCCTTCTCCCTAACACACGAACCGTTCATCGAGCTACAAAACTCAAGTATATTGTAGACCGAGAGAGCAATATTGCTCACCTATTGGATTCATAACGAAGAAATAGTAGGATGAGGATCAGCTTCTGAATTAAATTCGATCTGTAACAAAAACGAGACGAACACCAAGGAATCACCAAGAGTGATACTAGGTATGCTTGCCGTTTGCTTTCCAAGCAGTTCACAGTTCCTACATACCTGCAATCACTTTCTAGTAGTATAACTCCTGAAACGGTAGCTAAGCTATATTTGTCGAGTCCCCCAGTTTTGTTCTCAAGACATACCTAGGTAGCCATCCCACCAGGCAGTCGTCACTTGACACTACCATGTATCAACGCACTGAAGATGAACAGTTGACATGCCCGTGAGGAAATGGGAGTAGGCGTTTCATGTCCCAGCGAGTACCTCCCACCTCACATGGCCAGCTGCAGTGCCTACCAACTATCGGAACCGCCGCATCTCGGGCAACGATTGATACATACCTAGACTTGGTCCAAAGACAAGTAATTAGGCAAGAAAAAGAAAAATACAGACAACGCCCCCACGTCATTTGAACCCTTATTAACAGTATAGAAGGTCAAGTATTTGAAACTGGAACATTGTCCTGGGGAAGATCATGAGCCCGATACTGCTCGGACCGACGACACGTTGTGGAAACACTCGGATTGCTGTATAACAGACGATATAGTTGACTTGTACCAGAAATCCAAGTCGAGGATGGTGTGCATGGTGTCACTTTCTAGACAATGGCCTCCGATTCCACCTCCCAGTGTACCGCGAGCGTCGCTCTCTGTACTTGTTTTCCTTTTCCATGTTTCTTGATCCTTGCTGAAATCCTTTCCCTTACCCCCTAACATTCAAAACAACATTTCAAAGCTCCATCAGCTTGGAGTTATCTGGTTCTCATTCTCTGACGACCGGAGACGGATGACGACCTCGTGTGAAGTCTGTCCTTGTCTCAAGTCAAGATTTCGAATTGCGGAGCGTATCAAAATGCCATAGAAACTGTAAAGTTTGTGATGGCTCTGAAACCCTTCCAGTACAACGTAGCTACCAATGAGTCATTTTAAAGAGGGAATGGTGATGATTTGAGTAGTACAGAGTCCAGGAACCTCGGGTTCTGGAGTTGGGGGTTAATCGTCAACGTGATCGAGGGTGTTCTTGCCTGAGAGTTTCGCAATCCCAAGATATTGGTCACGAAATGATTACTATACGTAAACACCAAAAGAGCTTATTCAAATTCCGGGAAGACTGGCCGATTAAACAGTGAACCGAGTGTGGAGCCTGAGTCCGGGAAGTGAATGTTGAACCCGAGTGACCTCAAAGTCCCCAGCGTGGAGTTGCGAAGTCCAAAGGCTCATCTCAGCTTGGTGGAGTATCCTCAGCATTGGAACGCGGGAGCAGGCCAATGCCCGTCAGTAGGTGGGGTAGGTAGCTGCTCGCCTAACTTTCAGCCGCCTCCATCTTCTTAGTGGGGGGCGAAACCTGGCATTTATGTACCAAATTCTTGGCAACGGATAAACTCTTTCTTTCCACGCTAAAAATTTCTCCGATAACAGAGGCAATAGAGGCTCAGTCAGGTTGTTGTTCACCACTCGCGCGCCGCCGACTGTTGAATTCAACCCATCCGTGTGTTCCTGGAAGGATTTACACAATCGAATAACAACAACTTTACCCAAAGATCCAAACCATCTTTCAGTTACCGGTAACTCACGTTACGAACAACCACTACAGTCAAAATGGGCAAGATCACCAAGTTCGGCGACGAGGGCGAGGAGGTTACCATGAAGGAGACCCCGACTTCTCACCAGCCGGAGGCTCAGGATGATGTCTCTATGGCCGATGCGGGCGAGGAAGGAGAGGAGGGAGATGAGGAGTATGAGGAGGGAGAGGGTACTAAAGTTAGACTTGTACGTTAAACCCTCCATGACGAATTCATGTCGACTCGAGACTAACACCTGAGCACAGCTTCCTGGTTCTACGCCCACGGCCGCTTCTTTCGAGTTCCTTGATGAGAGCCATACCCTTGGTAACGCGCTCAGATACGTCATCATGAAGAAGTGAGTACCGGGAGCCTTACTTGTCTCATTTTAATGAGCTGAGCTGTGACTGTGCTAACACCATTTCACAGCCCTGATGTCGAATTTTGCGCCTACGCCATTCCTCATCCCTCCGAAGCCAAAATGAACGTCAGAATTCAGACCTATGGTGCGTCATCTTTCTCGTCCACTTCTTAGCGAGACCCGTGAATACAGAGGTGAACTAACAGTAACATGCAGAGGGCACAACTGCTGTCGAGGCACTCCGCAAGGGTCTGCGTGACATTCAGGATCTTTGCGACGTCGTATCGGATAAGTTCCTTGAGGCGCGCAAGGACTTCACTGATAAGAAGGCCGCTGCGTCTGCCTAAGCCTCTTGTTTCTCACCTTTCTTTTCATCGTTAATTTTCACCAGCATGGGTAACGGCGTTTTGGGGCTTGGGTTGGTAGTAATTCACAAGGGGGGACAAAAAAAATAGACAGAGGAAAACTTGCTGTGAGTGGCCATCAAGATAAGGGGGGAAGATAAAAGAACAAGCGGCTGCGTCCATGGATGTTCATCTGGCTTGCGTTATATACATAGGCTCTAGAGGAAAGGCTGACATTGATACCCTTCGTTATTACTCTTCTTAGTTGCGACCCTAGATGAAAGAAGAGTACTGTGAGCTACCCGCACGATGAAGTGGCCATCATCAAAGACAAAGGAGCTTCATGTATAGGCTTACCTGCAGGAAGCCATCGATAAAGCTGGAGGGAAGTCTCTTGGCTCCACGGAAGCTCTCCTCGTTGAAGTACGACATCATGTGAGTCGTCTGGCGCCAAAAGTTCATGGTTTCCTGATAGACGCGTGGAGAGTCAGCGTCAAGTTACCAGAACAATCAGTCCGAATCGCCGCGACGCATAACATGCGCCAGCGCTCTGATATTCCCTTCTGACACCTTGTCTGGAACCCTTTCCCTCTTCTTTTTGGGTGTTCTCCAGATTTTGGACATGACCCCACTGCTGTGCCCGTTTCTGGGGATCCCCTGATTCATGTCCGTGTGGATAGTGACGATGAAGTGGAGCCTTACTTGATAGTCGGCATGGCCCTTTGTGAGCAGAACATCCACCACGGGCAACTTGTTAACGAAGCGGTTGCGCTCGAATTCCTGCCTGATGCGGGTGCGAATGACCGAAATGGGGAGGGGTAGTGAGTACATGGACTGCATCTCGGGTGTCTGTTGTATGTGATATCCTGGTTAGCGAATCCTCAGTCGGGATTGTTCGCACTCCCCCCATTATATACGTCGATATCCAACGTGTTCGTCGAAAGCTAGAAATGCTCGTTCTATGTCGGTTCGCTCGTAACGTACCGAACGAAGCCATCGCCGATAAAGGGCGAATACCCTCCGCTTGGCGTCGCTCCAGTTTGCCGCTACAATGTCCGTCAGAGTTACTCGTTCAGCTTGTACAACTGGGGTTACTTACACTGCCTGGTGGTGATGGCGTACTTGGTAGGTGTGATGGGCATTTTGGGCCAATTCGCGACTCGAGGACCTTTGGAGGTTGTCGCCGTTCCGTTCGCCAAGGTCGGTCGATTCGTCGTTCGCATGACAGCTTGTAGCTTCAGCAGTCGGTTCGGGGTCGGTAGCATCCAGCTAAGCCACAGTTGCTCTTACACACAGAGTGCGGGCGCTGATAGCACTAGCCACAATCACAAGAGGCCAATGACGTTGGCGCCACAATTCCAAGGCGTTTCTGGCAGGCAATTTTGAGCCAGTTCACTGCACTTACGCCGGGGATCACAGCACTCTCCTCTGGTCAGCTCATTAGATTTGAAGTTCTCCATCCTCCAACCAAACAATTGCGATATCACCACACACTCCGATACTCTTCTGAATATATACGTTAGCGCAACGCAAAACACGTTATTCAAAGCGCCGCTTACTAAATCCCGAAACCGAGGACCAGCGACGACCTCAAAATGCCAGCCATTCGCCCCGCCTCGAAGCGCAAGCCGCCCCCAGAGGGTTTCGCCGACATTGAGGAGGATCTGCTCATCTTCGCCAACAAGATGAAGGACGCGCAGAACGCCCCGACGGACAACATACCCAAGCACCAGGCCAAATGGCCTATCTTCCAGATCTCGCACCAGCGGAGCCGGTACATCTATGAGCTCTACTACGAAAAAGAAGCCATCAGCAAGCAGCTGTACGAGTGGCTGCTCAAGAACGGGTACGCGGACGCGATGCTGATCGCCAAGTGGAAGAAGAACGGCTACGAGAAGCTCTGCTGCCTGCGCTGCATACAGACCAAGGAGACCAACTTCAACTCGACGTGCATCTGCCGCGTGCCCAAGGCCGAGCTGAAGGAGGGCCAGGATGTGCAGTGCGTGAGCTGTGGGTGCAGAGGGTGTGCTACTGGTGATTGAAGAGGAGGAGACAAGGATTTAAGGTTATAAAATTGAAGAGGGAAGGCAGGAACAAGCAACTTTTTTCAAGGCTGAGATGTGGTGGAGAAACAATGAGAAGTCGGGGGCCGACGAACGGCCGTTCAGCGCCGCGATAATGATACCAACAACATCTCTTTGTCGAGCACGCATCGGGAGAGGGAAGAGGCGTTCACGGGGAGAGGGTAAGATAAGATGCTTTCTCCTTTGCAGAGCTATGTTTGACGCTTACTGTTGAGGGAGCAGATTGAACAAACATACGAACACGTTATGTCATGATGTCATGGAATGTGAGGACCGTATCAGTATGTTTTCGCTATGGATGTGCAATAATATGTTTCAGCTGCTCAGTACTAATGGAATTGGTTTGCCCAAGTCTTGCCACATCTCGTTTTTGCACTTCCTCTGTTGTCACCTTTTGGCGAATCCAGTCTTTCCTCCACGACCACGACCAAATCTGACACTGGAGGGCACGAACTGCAGTGCAGACATCTTGCCTACCAAGTCCCCCATATCCACGTCAGCCGGCTCCTCAACGGCCTCCTCATGCGGTTGGTCTGTCGTATCAGCATCGGGGTTCGTCGATGTTGGAGTAGGCTCGGGCTGATCTACTTCCATCTGCTCTTTCATTTCTGATGGAGGCTTTGACTTGGAGGTGACCTTTGGCTCGGAAGAGCCGGCATGTGTTTCCGCTGCCGATGGCTTGTGGACCCGTTTCTGTTTCGGCCGCCGTTCATCCAACAACATCGATTGCCGCCCGTCAATACCGTGCAGTGTCACCGCGAAGAAGAAATTCTTTGGGTACATGTGCTTATCAACGAGATGCATCCGTCGCTTTTGGGGGGTCATGCATTTCCTTTCGCAACCTTCCACGAAGCAGGAGTACTGGAACGTTCGTTAGTGGCAAGCTTTCCAACATTGAATCGGCACTCGGCAAGGCCAAGGACACGCCAGGACCAGGAGGGGAAAGAGGAGAAGTTGGAGGGCAGGACATACTGTGTGTTCACCTTTGTCTCTTTTGACAGCCGTGAAGGAGTCATGATTCTCCTCGATGTGCAGCCCAAGTAGATGAGACGAGGGGAAGTTTTTACGGCACTCGAGGCACCGGTTGGTGTGGATGCTGTTGTAATGGGATTCGTACTCTGAGTATGTCGAAAACACCAGTGTGTCCTTGTGTGGCGGCAGCGAACATTTCATCTGCATCCTGGGTTGGCTGAGGCTTTCGGTGGGATCTAGCCCAGTGATCTTTGCAGCGGGTGGTGACCCGGAGGCATCGGCGCTCGTAGATCGGCTCGTTGTTGTCCCGGTGGTATCACTCAATTGCTGTTGGTTTGGATAAAGAGAGCTTGTCGTTGTTACTGTTTGTTGATAGGGCAGAGGGTCCTCCTCGGGTTCGCGTGACCGCTTCATGTTTGTGCCTTTTCGGTATTCTTTTGGGTGTGTTGGTGGACTAGGTTTGCGATGACATTTATTTGGAGTCTCTCCACTTGTACCCGAATTCTGTCGGTCATGGGTTAGGTATACCACTTGCTCCCTTTACCCTTTGTTTCGTACTTGATATTGAGGTCGGTTGTAGTCAATCAGACCAGCAACGTTGTCGTGGCACGATTCGATACTGTGGTTTCTCCAACCAACCTTACTCCTTAAATTTGAGAACTTCGATGTTCTATTATCCCGTTCAACCCTCTTTATCACTAGTGATATGTACGTAATCCATTCGCATATGACTGATTGTAAGTTGACACAAGCTCAAATATCGTTGGAGTGGAATCCGATGTCGACAGATGATGAAAATCACTGGAGTGAAAGCTTCCACTTTCATTATGTCTAATGTGCACGGACCAATTGCCCTCTGGGACATTGTTAGCGTCAAGTGCTAGTGAGCCGTGGCCCGTGGGTGCTGTAGGGTACTAGTCTACTTACTGTGTAGGTACCTAGGGACAAGTGGAATCCTGTACATCGGCCAGCTCAGTTCAACGTCAAAGGACCCGGGCCCGACTCTTTGGCGAGCGGCAGAGGGGACGGACCACACACACCTGATTGCGCGCGTGAATCCCCTTGATCATCTTTTGCATCTCTATCGATCCCGTCCGACCCAACTTTTTTTCTTTGCAGACCCCCAATCTTCGTTTTGGAGGTTCCGCCTTGCGCGCGTCACCGGATCGGCATAGGATTCCTCGCAACAACCACCACTACGCCCGCCGCGTACTCGTCTCCGATTGCCGCGATACGGGTCTCGCCTCGCCGTTCTAGTCATACAATTTTTTGTCCCGCCTTCCAATGTGCTCAACATCGCCGGACCGTCGTCGACCTGCAGCCCGCGAGACGCAGCGCCCCCCTGCGCACATCCGCCGAAGAGAACTTCTGAACGAGTGATGGAGCACTTGCAGTACAACCGTCCCATCTCGGTTTGTCCAGGCTTAGTGTAGAGCTTGATGCTCAATTGCCCGGAATTTGCACAACATTTAGTCCGGTATACCTCCGACTACCTACGACACGCCGAACTCTACGCATACATACATAGGTACTCCTGCTCGGGCGCCCACCCTCCACCATCGTACATAACGGCTCCAGTCGCCCCTCCAGAGGGACGCCCATCGATTTGTCGTCGCTTTGCCTTTTCTGCTCCGCACAACAACTTCATCCGCGGCGGGTGACATCGACTGCTCGTCGACTACGCCCAAACCCGGCATCATGGCGACAACAGGTGCCATTCCACCGGCCGAGGAGGCATGGAAGTGAGTAATCTTCGAACCGGGGCATAATGGCTGTCTAGATGTGGAATATCTCTGCTGGCTGGACTGTTCACCAGAGATTCTTTGCTAACCAAGTCGGTGTCGTAGGGCCGCCCAGAAGCTGCGAGCTGCGATCCACAAGGAAACTCAAAGCATCCAGCATGGCGGACCGGGTTCGAACGAGGAGGCTCGCTTCCAAAAGATCGAGAAGCTAATGGAAAAGTGGGAGCTGTCCTTGACCAACAAAGACTTCACGTTTGACTAATACGCTGCTAGCTACCGTCTCCATTGTGTTAGCATCATCTGGACTGACATTCGCGCGGCGAGCGAACTGGATGTCGAGCAGACCCTCTGGAGCACCCACAGCATGGTCACCAATGCCTACCGAAATGCCATCGGCAAAATTCAGGGACCTGGTCAAGCCGTCCACAAGCGCAGCATAGAGAAGCTCTATCTGGCCTTCCTCAAGACGACCCAATATTTCTACAAGGGCTATCTCCAGCGAGTGTGCGCCCGCTACAACATGAAACAACTAAAGCGTATTGCCCGCATGGCCGACCTGGAGGACATGTCTGTGCCGGAAGAAGACAGGGTCGACGCTACCGCTGCGAATCTAGAGGGGCTTGTCACCGCGTCCTGCCACAGAACCTTGGTATATATGGGCGACTTGGCCAGATATCGCACCCTCATCCGCTCCAAGGATCGCCGCTTCGATACCGCCCTGGCTTACTACTCAATGGCCAATGACCTCGTGCCAGAGTCTGGATTTGCCCATCATCAGAGTGGACACATTTATGCCACCCTCGAGAACCATCTGGAGGTTGTTTACCATTTTTACCGCGCCATCGCCTGTGACAAGCCGCACCCGAATGCCCCGGCCAACCTTGAAACCGAGTTCAAAACCCTTCGAAAGCGGAAAGCTGCTGCCGCGGCCAAGGGTAGTGATGATGCTATGATCTCTTGGTTTGTCAAGCTCCATGCCTTTTACTCAAAGGGCGAGGAGTTCAACGAGCGTAAGGAACTTGAAGCCGAGGTTGACACGCGTTTGGCTTTGGCTTTGACCAAGAGCAACCAGGCCGATGTTACCAAAGTTCTTCTCAAAATAGTCCTCATCAACATCACGGCTTACGTTGTCGGAAAGAAGAATGTTGAAGGTAAGCAAAATCTCAGTGATTGCGACATGACCAGATGCTGACATGGCTGCGTAGCTGGCTGGACAACCGAGAAATCTCTGTCCTGCCAATTTATCCTGTTGCAGAACGTTCGGGTCATCCATACGATCTCCCGCATCCTCCACGAGGAAGTTCAAGATATCCTGCGGCGTCCGGCTGCCCCTGGTGATGCTTCCACGAGAAAAGCGGATACGACCAGCAGATATACTGCCACCTTCCAACGCACGCTGCCCCTATTGCGCGTGTATATGACCTGGCTATGCTCCTACAGCAAGGACATCGTGGAGTTCCAGGCCTACCTGGAGCCGCTTTACGGAAACATGTGCAAGGCTCTCGGCCGCGCGCTCACCGTTCTGTTCGAGTTGTGGCTGAGCGATACCAAACTCAAGTCTATCGTTCCATACCAGTTCCCCGAGGACGAGGAAACCATCGGTATCAAGTGCCTGAACGGGCCCGACCTTCATGACGGCTGTCAACTGTCTTATGATCCTACCACCTGCAAGCCGAAGCCCAGAGCTGAGGACGTCAAGGATGCCAGCTTTACGGAAGACGACATTGCTTTCACTCGCATCTTCGATGTCCTCTTCTGTGCAATCGACCTTGCTGAACGCTCGGCTTTCCCTCTCATGGTTTGCAAACTTATGGAGAGTTCGCGTGAGGTCACCAAGTTCGCGTATGCAGAGGGCGGAAAGCAGGAGTCCGTTGCGCAACCTGAAGTCGAACAACGACCTGCCTGCGAGACCGGACTTCCGGTTCCTGAGCATATCCCGTCTCCCATAGTTGAGCAGGTTCCCGTGGATGCTCCGATTGCGAACCCTGTTACGGCTCCTGTGGCTGCCCCAGTTGCCGCTCCTGTCACGGCACCTATTGAGGAGGTTGCCCTGGACAGCTTTGACGAGTTTGCTGAAGATCGTGATTTCTATAGAGATCCGAAGGAGATGCAGCCTGCTGTGAGCCGGGCTTCTGCTTCGCGGCCACCAAAGGCACCCCAGGCCGCTTCAAACTCCGAGTACTCCATCGACGCCCAAATGTATCAGCTCTTGAGCGATTTCCTTGCTCCCCCCGATACCACGGACCATACTCGGAAGCCCAGCAGCCATGGACCAGACGAAACTTCGTACGGAATTGGTTCTGTCACTGCCAACGAGCTTCGCAATGCTTTCGGGTCTCCTAGCCCAGGCTCTGGCTCGGGGCATGGTTCTGCTTCGGGGTCAGCTCCGGGGTCAGCTACTGCCAGAGGATACCAGCAATTGCCTTGGAACTATTTCTACACTCCTGCGGCTGCTGACAACGACGTCCCGAGGTCTTCCGTGGGCCGTGGTACTCCCGGTCCTTGGGGAGGACATGGATCACCATATCTGCATTCTAAGAGCATGAGTAACACCGCAATTCCGTCAGGAGCCTCGATTACCACTGGCCCTAGCACTGTTGAGCAGCAACTGGCCAACCAGCTGGCCAGCCTTATCCCGTCCACTTCCGCAAAGCATCGGTCTGCTTCTCCCCGCGGCGTATGGCCGGAGCTGGGACAGACATCAGCTTCGCATTCGAGACAACGATCCAATGTCGGCGGGGCTGGTTCCAGTTGGAATCCTGCTGTCGGCAACCCCCCTGGGCTGTGGGGTGACATGCCCAACTCCCCCTTCTCCTCTATGTCCTTCTCGGGTGCAACTTCGAGCCTGCCGCCAGTGAATAGTCCTTGGGGCTTGCCAGCAAAGTCCCACTGGGACGCTATTCCCAATCGCAACCCCGGCGTGTCGGCGGCTCCCAAGTCCGCCGGTTTGGTTGGTAGGATTCCCCCAGGCTTCGGACCTGGTCACGGAAATTCGAGCCCTAGTGGCGCATATGGAAACGGAGGACAGTTTGACGCGGTCAACAGCTTCGGACAGAGTGGCATGGCTACCAGGACCGCACATCAAAATGCCTTCAACCAGTCAAACGCAGACACATATGCCACTTCTCAGGTGGAGGAGTACAATAGGCAAGCTCTTATGAACGCTTGGGCTAACGAATACGGGCGCACCTCGGCTGCCTTCGCTGCTGCACCTCCAGGCTTCGAAGCTGGCGGAAGACCCCAGCCCCCACCTGGGTTCCCCAAGCGCTGAATGCCGACGTTGATCATACGTCAAAACACAAACACTGGTTTTTTTTACCATCCTGGTACTCTTCAATGATGGCAACAACAGTTGAATGGTCGGCCGTGCCTCTCGCCTACAAATCTGCGTTAAGGAACCCATCTGCTTAGTCTGTTCCGGAGTCCATAGTATTGTTGGTACTAGACGCCGACACGACGAGGATTTGCGACAACACGTTTACGATGACTTAAGCGATGATTCACAGAACCCGATTTTACATTGGGGTCAACAGATGGCAAAACCGGATAAGAACATTTGCGATAGCTTCTTGCCATACCATGCTGGAGGCTTCAGTCATTCTGACTGCCGTTAATACCCCGACAATTGATTGTCTGCACGTCTGCGCTGTCCCTCCCTTAGGAGTTGGGGAAGAATGATGAGGCATATGGAATACAAGACGGAACGCGCTTGAAAAGGAATCTGCAAAACTCAGTCAGCAAGGTGATCACCCACCCAATGAGTTATTTTGCTTCGCACAGCCTCGTGCTTCCTTTACTAGTGGCGTATCACGCACGCATCTTGGATTCATTTCACTATTTGCGCGTTTGGTCTTATTCGACCTTAATCGTCCCTTGGTCCTGCCACTCACTGGAGGCAATTATGCAGGTTCTTGTTGCTTTCGTCTCGCCTCTTTTGAGTGACAGGAACAGCGTATTACTATTGACCCAAGTATGTGTATGAAAGGGCTTTTTGGAAGGAGGCAAAAGGTGAAGAGTTGCAGAGACGCGAAAGAATCAAGAAGCAGTGGGGTTTCCGTTCTTAAGGTGAAAAAAAAATGACGAGGATTTGAGCAAAAGAGGCATCGGGCGCTCCAGATGTTGAAGCTTACCCAGAGAGGAATGAAGGCAAGGAAGAAGAACGAAAGATACTGAACAACACAACCAAAAACTGAATTTGAGTTTTACCAGATTGACAGACGCGCGCTTCGACACATGACTTTTAAAGAAGAACTTCGACGAGGAAAATCAAAGCTATATTACCATACACCATGTCTCTGAATGTGTCAATGCTAGTCATCTTACACCTATCTGGTCGGGACATGTGTACGCTGCCTCTGGCTGATCTTCCTTCCTTGCAAATAAATAGATGTATTTCCGAGATCACCCTTGTAGTAGTTTGCCCGACAACTAGGGAAAGATGGGTAGTGTCACCATATGTAGAGGTACGTGGTTGAGGGAAGGGAAGACTTTGCTGTCTCTCTTCTATCGAGTCGAGCCGTAGACTCGAAAGTGATCCGAGTTGAGTAGGCTGGGTAAGCAGAACCTCTTGTCAGTCATGACCAAGCCGAAAGGAGCACTGTGACGGTGGATCTCGCTCAGCATGCCCCCTCCGAGAAAATAAAGAAGAAGAAAAAAATGATGATAAAGAAGAAATCCCGAGGGAGGGAGAGAAAGAATCGCTCGTACCCAAGTCGAACTTGTTCAAGCTGGAAACCCATGGACCCTGATACAGGAGGAACGGTATGTATCCCCTTGGCCGACGCGAAACCCATTCCAACGAGGAATTTGACATACCACCTTGGGGCCCAATAATATAGGTGATTCCAAGAGGAACACTTTAGATGGCCAAAATGGTAGCACATGAGAAGGAGAGCCGAGGTTCTTGATGTCAAGTCGATCAGGTCCGCTGTCAGGATCCAACCCCTATTTACAGTCATTCCAGCTTCTCGCGCTCATTCGTACCAGCTTTCTTCACACTACTATTCAAACCAAAACCCTAGCGGGAGTAAACATAAAGATATTGATGCCGTAAAAACCCGTGGTATATTGTGCCGTTGTTGAAACCCATTTTGTGACGAGGATAACTACTCATGATCCTATGCCAAAATTTGAACCATGTGTATGCAGTCAAGTGACCTAAGCCTGATGTGAAAAGGCTTCCTGGATACCTTACAACCAACGCCTCTTCTCCTATTGCGCTGAACAACAAGAACGCTCTACTAACAACTCTTCTACTTCTTTTTCAATTCACGCCCTGCTAGCCAACAAAACTGGTCTCCCAGATTTAGTTGTGTCCGGGGTAAGCCTGCTTGGGGAAGGGGTAGCTGTTACATACGTTGTCAGTTGGTACATCTGGAATAAAAAGTATTGCGGAGACGAGAGTTGTGAAAACTTACGAGGGACCGAGCTCCTGGATGGAGAGCTTAGCGAGCCATTGGCCCATGTGGATGGACTCCTCGATGGACTTGCCCTCGACGACACCGGCAGCGAAGCCGCCAGCGAAGGCGTCACCGGCACCGTTGGTGTCGTTGATCTTGGCGGGGTCGATGGAGTGGACGGGGTACTCCTTGACCTCATCCTCGCCCTGGATGGCAACGATGGTAGGCTCGGTGCCCTGGGTGATGATGGCAACGCGCTTGCGCTGGGTGTTCTCCTTGGGAAGGTTGGCAAGAGCCTTTGCGATCTCCTTGACATCGGTGGTGTTGAGGCCGTGGGACTCGGCGTAGGCGGCGGCCTCGCCCTCATTGCCGATCACGTAGTCCCAGTAGGGAGCGGAGGCATCAAGGGGTTCCTTGAAGAACTGGCAAATGAAGGGGGCGGAGAGCGAGAGGATGAAGGGCTTGTTGCCGCTGGCAGCCTGCTTAGCGAGCTCCATGATGGCGGGAGGGCAGACGGTGAAGTGGTAGCCGCCGACATAGTAGACCTCGGCGTTCTCGACAAGGGACCAAACCTCGGGCTTCTTCAAGTGCTCAAGGTCGTAGTGGTTGGCGGCACCGAGCTCAGTGCACATGGAGCGGTTGTGGCCAGTGATGACAACACCGCAACGGCCGGTGCTGATCTTGGGGTCGACACGGTACTCGACGCGGAGGCCAGCCTGCTTGACAGCATCGTGAAGGATGGCAGCGTACTTGTCGTCACCGACACCGCCGAGGTAGACGACGCTGTTGGGAGGGAGGAGGTACTGAGCACCACGGGCGGTGTTCTGGGCAGCGCCACCGGCGATCAGCTTAGCATCGTAGTTCTGGAGGAGGTCCTCGAAGAGGCCCTGGTGCTTCTCCTCGGCGAGGATGGCGTCGTTGGCCTTGAGGCCGTACTTCTCGAGGAGAGCCTCATCGCCAAAGGCTTGGATGTCTGAGATGCGATTGTTAGCTACAGCTCACTTGCATCATGCAGGTTTTTGCGAACGAGGGAGGACGAAGGGTTGCGCCGTGTGTTGCGAGGCGAATTGGGAGTATGGAAAACCTGGATGCGCCCGAACTGCCAGAGAAATTTGATAGGCGCCAACTCAGGTGTAAACAAGATGAGACTGGCGGGAAAGAGTAGGACTCACCGAGAAGGGGATTCTCAAGGCAGAGAAGTCTGTAGTCCTTGGTGGCGGCCATCTTGCTGAACGAGTTGCTACGAATGCTGAAGCGACTTGGGGTTGTTGTGTGGAAAGAGTTGTTGACTGGGATAAGATTCGAAGCTGACAGCGAGAAGCAGCCCACGGCGGGGTCGCAACCGCGCACTAGGTTCGAGGTGGAAGGATTCGCCGCAGGGAATGGATTCACTGGGGCGGTGGAGTAGAAACTCCGAGTTGCCCCAGCAGCACTGGGTTGACCATGTCGGCGAGCTCCAACAGCAAATGAGACACCGATGAAAGACTCAAACTTGCCGGTGATGAAACGTTGTGGTCGAGTTATTGGATGTATCAAAAGCATTTTGGACCTCAGTTCGGTGATACCGCGAGGAGATTGCACGATAACGCACCACGCTAAAATTGAGCATGTGTTGCTGTAGTGCAATGCACATGGGAGTAAATTTAGGAGCTACTACAATCCGAGTAGACGGTCCATCGTCTCCAGAATTTGACGTCAGGTGCCAGTACATACACAACAGCGTAGAGCAATTGGGTATCAAGTTTCTCCCTGCTAGCATCAAGAGTATCAGATGCCGCGTAGTCTTCTCTCCTTTTCGCATTACCCCTCATACATAGTCTTGTCACAACGTGTAGACCAGTAACTGTAGTTGCTTCCTCTTGACCGAAGAAAAACGATCATGTCCGCTCATCAATTTGCCTAGGATGATAGTTATCATGCCCTTCCGAGTTTCCTTGATGTGATTGACGCGCCCTGAACTCGAGGGTCATGCTCGCTCACCATCTGAAGGACCACGGCTCGCATCTGGCACCCGTCTCGCTGCTTTGTGTGGGAATCATTTTTATTCCGGTACGTCCCAAGATGCTTGCAAAAAGAGGAAGTCTCCCAGCCGCCTTCGCAGTACCGTAACTACAAAGCAGCAAAGACCAATGCAATCCCAGAAACCCCAGCCCGGATGACAAACAAGAAATCGCTTTACTCCTTGGTCTTCTGGGTACCGCGGAGGAGACCAGTTCTCCTGGCGGCAATGAGACCCGCCTTCTGACCCTGGGCAGCGTACCTGGAGATGGTAGAAGCCTTACCAATATGTTGGTGGTTACCCTGTAGCACCATGTCAGCTCGCGTTCAGAGTTCTGGACACCTGTAAAACTTACACCACCGTGAGGATGGTCGACGGGGTTCATGGCAACACCACGAGTCTTGGGCCAGCTGTTGCGCTTGACAGCGAACTTGTGCTTAGCACGAGAAGCCTCTGTAAAATTAATCAGCACTTCCGCTCATTTCGGAGGACCACATGTACCGGGGAAAACGTACTGAGGAGGGGCTTGTCGGTACGGCCACCACCGGCGACGATACCGATCATGCCACGAGCGCTGCTGGAGACAACCTTCTTGGCACCGGAGGGAAGCTTGATGCGGGTCTTGCCCTCCTCGGGGTTGTGGCCGACAACAGTGACGTAGTTACCGGAGGTACGGCCGATAGCACCACGGTCACCAACCTTCTCCTCGACGTTGGAGACGACGGTACCCTCAGGGACGGAGCCGAGGGGGAGGACGTTGCCGACGGTGAGAGCAGCGTTCTTGCCGGCGTAGATGAACTGGCCGGTGTACATGCCCTCGTTGGCGATGAAGGTCTCGCGCTGCTTCTTGAACTTGTAGGGGGAGTTGAAGACAACGCGGGCGAGAGGAGCACCACGACCGGGGTCGTGGATGATCTCCTTCACAACACCACGGATGTAGCCGTGGCGCTCGGCATAGTCGAGGGATCTGAACTTAGCCGGGGCCTTGTTCAACCGGGTGTTGGCGGTGAAGATGGAACCGCGGCCCTTACGTTGGTTGCGAATCTGAGGGTAGAAGATGCATGGTCAGCATCGACATCATTGCCGTTTCGTGCTCCGAGCCTTTCCTCTGCCATTTGGGGCCATGTGCTGGTGCATCCCAAATATCCTCTCGATTCGATCACTTCCAAATCTCCAAATCGCCGCCCCCTTGCCGCCCTGGGCGCCGAATTTTATGCGATTGTCGGTTTCCCCCCATCGTCGTCGTCGGTTTTCGAGATTGGAAATTTCGTCGCGATCGTTTCGAGAGAACAGCTGGATAATGAAGATATCGGGATTTACTTACGACGCGACCCATTTTGTCCCTCCTACCTCAAATGACTGAAAGTAAAGGCCGGGTTTCGGTAAGTTGAAGGTTGAGTTGCGCTTCGTAAAAAGCTCCCGAAGTCAGTGCAAGACGATATTTTTCCAAATTCTTGTGTGGACTTGCGCGAAAACAAGCCACACACTAGGCCTGTGCGGCTCCCCAAGCTGCCCTAACGCGGGGAGTAAGTGTGGCGCGAAGCAAGGGACCTGTGGCTTGCGCTCTTCTAACTGTTCAATTGCGTCACGTGGAGACGCAACCACACGCTTAGAAACGACCGTGACTGGTGCCCCTCCCCTCCACAGCGAGCCTTGTGCCATTCACGTCTCATCGCTGTTATTTCCATCAAAGCAACTTGAAAGTATTTACAAATAGTGGCGCATGGGTCTTTGCGACATCTTGGAACTTGTTTGAGCTCACATCTTTCTGTGAAATCCCCTTATTCTTTCTGTCTATTGTTTGGGGTGTGATGATGCTGTTCGTAAATCGCATTGCATCTCGCAGCGCGACGGATGAACTTGAAGTACGACGGACAGTGCAGCGTCTTCCACTGTAGTTTGATCACACGGTACGCGGCATCCGGATCACGCCAAAAGCAGGAACGCCGCCCACTTCCTATCGTCATCCGCCCAACTTCACAACTCTCGTCGGATTGACGCGCTGCAGTGATGCCAGCAATGTTGACTTTCAACGCAGGAGCGACCAAATAAACAACTGCATGCTCTTAGAGGTAGTTAAGTACGGCAGATTTATCTCATTTACCTTTTTATCTCTATTCCGAGGGTGTTCTAACAATCTGATAGGTGTGATCAACTGAATCCATGAGTGCGTTGTACTACCAGCCGTCGGATGGACTACTCATCGTGATCGCAACTTTTGTGCTGCGATTTTGGAGTTCTTCAGGCCCGTGGTTCTGCTATGTGGACCGTTTCGCTGCAAGACCTTGGGTTTGTGAACTCAAATCGTTCAAGCGACCGATGCAGTGGATGCAGGCCCTCCCGACCTGGGACGAGAGGCAGGAGCAGCGTCGTTGAACTCTCGCCAACCTCACCTCCTTCTCGTTCACCGACAAAAGATGTCGCAAGTGCGAGTCGATATTGGACTGATGCTTGCGCTTGTCCATAATCCCAAGACATTGTCATTATTGGGCACGTTGCATTTTGTTGGTAGGTCTCGAAACTCTTTTCAGGCGCATAAAATGTGGCCTCCGCATACGCGATACGTCATCTTATTTTTTTTTGTTTGTGGACAACGAGGGTCGGAATGCGAATAGCTTCAAGGCTCGAGTTGTTGTTGCACCACTTGTTTTGGCGATGGAGATGGAGGCACGGCTATCGCATCAGAGGGTCCCTGCTAGATCGCGTCTATATGCCGTCTCCAGGCCAGGCAAAAGCGGCGCCTTGGCTTACTCCCTTCATTCGCTCCCTGCATCTCTCTACAAAGTCTCCATTCGTGTCTTGACACCTGGGGCATACCACACACAGTTGGGAAACACTGAGGGCATGAGGATCATGGTCCCCGTTGGGATCACACGTCGACCCTTGGAGCTCACCTTCTAAAAAAATTTTGGGTGGAGGGGAGGAAAACATCGGGCGCGAAAACAATCCCCCCATCACTCTGCTTCATAACACCAACGCCCCGGCGAAACACCCATATTCCCCAACCGCCACCTCTACGACCGTTCTGAATAGCGACAGTTAGCATATGGCATCACGAGCTATGCACCTCGGGCCTTTTTTTTTGGGTACTTGTACATTTGACGAGGGCTTGCCTTAAGCGAGCCATGCGGGCTTTCGCCGATACACTGAGCGCTACCTGGAATTCATGTTATGCCATCGACAGGATGCTCAAGCTCTGGACTCTGGGCTACGGAGGGGATGACCGACGGGCAGGATTCCAAGGGGAGGCGATGGATTTTGCGGTTGGATGGAACTTTGTCATGATAACAAGCGGCCCGTTGAACCTGACACACCTGGCTCCAGCGCTAGCTGTAGATAGAAGAAAGACGGCTTTTCGCCTTGGATTCGTTGATGAATGTGCCTATCAAGCAGGCGCCTTGTGCAGTTCTCTTGCTGTGAGCTTGGGCTGGAAGCCCTGGGACTGTTGCTGGCGGCCCGGTACGTAATTTATTGCGGCCGATCTCTTATAACATTCAGTTGCTCCTCACTGCTGCACCCACTTTCTCTCTTGCAAGCACCCTTGTTCGTTCTTCCACCTCAGCACCGCAACGCGCAACGAGCAAACGAAGTGCCATCGGCCACTACAGCACATCATGGCTGACGACGACTCTTCCGATCTTTCATCCATCTCATCGCTATCGGCCCCTCCGACCGATGATGAAGCCGACATCCAGGTGGAACGCCATCAGGGCATCTTGAAATTCTTCCACAAAGTCGACAAAAACCCGGCCTTGAACCCACCCAGGGAGACAACGCCACCGCGACGCAAGAGAGAGCCTTCCCCCCCTCATGAATACGTTTTAGCCGATAATCCTGATATTGCCGTATGTTATTGCGCGTTTCGTCGCGTTCAAAAGACGACATAGCACAAACCGTCGCGCGTGCCATTGCATGTGACGCCACCGGTTGCTAACATGGGTATTTTAGTTCATTGTTATGTTCCGTTCCCGATTCACCGAAGCGTTTCCGAAAAGCCTGGCCAATTTCGGACCCCAAGAGCTGGAGCGTGACGTGGTCGAGACTATCCCAGGCGAGCGCGTCGAAAACTTTCTCTGCGCGCTGCTTGGCCTTTTGCTTAATCGCAAACAGGACGTCAAGTGCGTATTGCCCCGCCTGCAGCAGGCCAAAACCATTTCTAGCAAAACTTGCTAATCAACAAACCCAACACAGAGCCGGTCATTATGGACGCGCCCTCGAAGAAGCTATTCAGTCGCACAAGAGTCAATGGGCAAAGGAGTGGGAGGGTCAGAACCCTCTTGCTGGAGGTGCCACCTTTACCTCCATGACCCCAGTACAACGGGTATGCCATTTCACGCCGCACTCAAAATCTCCAGAGATGCAGAAGAAAAGAAAGGCTAATCTGCCATTGACCTCAAGCTTGCTCTCCTACGCACGCTGATCCATTGGTCCCTTGCGTCCTCCGAGGTCGTCAAAACTATGATCAATAAAAACTACAGGACCCGCCACGAAGACGATTTGAATGTCGGTGTCAGTGTCCAACCTTGGGGAACCGACGGCGACAAACGGAGATACTACCTGATCGAGGGTAACGACGACACGCATTTCCGAGTATATAGGGAGAGCAATCCCGCAGGGCACACACGAACATGGTGGAGCGTTGCCGGTAACATCGAAGAGCTGAAGCTGCTTGCCGAGAAGCTTGAAAAGAACGACGGAGGACCCAAGGCCCGAGCCCTGGCCAAGAGAATCACCAATAGCATTCCGCGATTCGAAGCAACCGAGGAGAAGCGCAGACGAAGAGAGTACCGGATCATGCGCAAGGAGCAATTCAAGCGCCCGGAGCCCGGTCTTTCACTGTACGAGGGCCGCACCCGCGGCAAGCGCATGAAGTACACCTTTTCGGACGACGAGGACGACTTCTATACGGATTCGACCGCGACCCGGCGGTCCGCCAGGAACACCAGGAACCACACCCCCGCCGAGCCCGCCGGCCCCATCACCACCGCCAGCGGGCGGCAAGTAAGAGCACCCACCCGGTTCGAGACGACGGCCAGCAATCCTGCCAGTGCCCAAGGCGACGATGATGTTGAGATGACGGGAGGCGTCGCTGACGCGAAGAATGGAGACCAAGTAGAGCTCACAGTTGGACCCACAGGCCGCCCGAGACGATCAGCCGCCGTACATCACAGCATGAACGGATGGAGCTCTGCCGCCACCACCACCAGTAAGAAGAAGCGCAGCAAGGACGATGAATACGATTCCGAGGACGAGGACGAGGCTAGTGACGAACCGGACTTTGGCGACGATGAGGAAGACGAGCATGTCCCGGCCGCTGACGACGAAGAGGAGGACGAAGAGGACGAAGAGGAGTATGAGGAAGATGCAGACATGGCGGACGAGGACGATCTCGATGATGGTGGCGATGCCAAGGATGACGATGATCACGACAACAGCCTCGTGTTCAAGTTCCCCATCCGCGTTGGCTTCGATGAGAATGCCAAAGTCACCAAAATTGATGGTCCGACCCCCTCGCCAACGATTACTCACAAGCATCCCCGGACGGCACACAGGAATATCGTGGTGAGCGAGCAGGCGATTCCCGCACAGTCTCGAGGTCAGTCGGTCGGCGATGGTAAGGAGAACGATGTCCCCATGGTGGACGCGGATGATGAGCCAGCAGCCAAGGAGGAGATCGTTGCGATCCCGCTCAAGAAAGCAACAGCCGAGCCCCTGGTTGAGAAAGGCGGTGGTGGTATCAAACGTCCCTTATCACCGCCCCCGGGCCTGGGTCCGCCCGGAGGACAGCAGGGTTTACCGATTAGGAGCCCTGAGAAACCTCAACCTCAACAGCTTGTTGGCCTCTAAATGAGCTGTTGACAAGTGTCAGAGCATTTTCTGTTACGTATGGGTAGCCACGGTTTAGTTTTCTGTACCCTTCTATTGTTAGGTTATGTTGGAATTCAGTCACGGGTGAAGTAGGGAGTTCTGGGTGTACAAAACATGGATGAGCAGTATCGCGATGCACGAAACTATGTTCTGTCAATCAAGATTACGTTATGATTCGCGACTAGGAAGAAAAAAAAGACAAGTGGAAGGGATCAGTAGGCTTAGTTGTGGGTGATAGTTTTCGAGTCTTCGTTACTTGGAAGCGAACAGAACTGACATCTCTAACGAAAACTCGAAGGGGAGCTTCAGAGGGAACGGAGTAAGAATGAAGTGTGTGCCACGCAAGACGGGTGAAGCAATTAGACCAGCAATTATATGGTTATGATAGCATCTCGATCCTTGAATTCCCTATTTATGAGACAAGTTGAAATCTTGCGTGCACAGCATATGACGGTCTCTTACCCAACGGACATGCAGCCAGTCGGATATGGCCAATGTTCACATCTTACCATGAATGCTCAAGTCAAGATGCTTGTTTCGAGTCCATTTACAACACCGTGCAATGCAGCGAGGCAAAGACCCTTCATCCCTAAAGCCCCTTTCCCACAACTGTTTGTCCACTCAAGCGTAACCACCGCCCAACTCCCTCTGGACCCCTTTCCCACAACTGTTTGTCCACTCAAGCGTAACCACCGCCCAACTCCCTCTGGAAGTTCTGGCTGAACGCCTCCACCACCTTCCTCCCCTCCCTTCCTCCGTAGCCACCGCCTCCGCCGAAGTTCTGTTTAAGGTTCCAGCTGCTGGATCGGCGAGTCTGGAAGATGCGTACATTTTGCGACCTGTTTTTCGACAAAGCGAGGGTGAAGAAAAGTATAAGAATGGATCCAAAAGATAAGTTTTCTTTTTGAGCCATATGATAGCTTATGGTTTAACAGAAGGAGAGGGACCAGGAGCAGGGGGGATCTCCCAGTTATTGACCCCGTACCACCAGCGCCGCACCCGGGCTCCGATCGAGGAGCCGTGAATCTGGGCGTTTCGGTTCCAGGACTGCCAGCCGCAGACTAGGATATTGTAGAGGAGACCTTGAACTAGGGGCATCATGACCTGTTGTTTTTGGACTGTTAGTTGCCCGTCCGGTATTCATTTTGAAAGGACGGCGACGTGTCTATAAGCCAGCGGGGCAAAGGCCGGGAAATCTCTAGATGAGAGCGATGATGATGGTGTAGGTATTCCAAAAAAAAAAAAAAAAAAAAAAAAAAACTTCAACATGCCTGATCCCTCGCCGTAATCAACACCACCTTCCACCACGTATCTGCATTGCGTATACTGTGCAGGTAGCTCTGCTCGTACCGCAGGTCCGGGATCGGGGGTAGGTGATGGATGTTGCGCCGGGGCCTGGACTTGACCACGTTGTATTCGCTCGCCTCATCCGTTTCTGTTTCCGACTGTGCGTAGTCCTCCTCGTCATCGTCCTCGTCGATCCCGTCGTCAGGTATTAGTGAGTCATGATGTTGACTGTGACTGGTCTGGGTCCGGAGGGACGCAGGCTCGCGCTTGGACGCAGCGGTAGAGGGGTTGATGTCGTGCGAAGGAGAGGGATCGCGCTTGATGTGCGCTGTTTGGATGGTCTCGGCGATTTGTATGGGGATGTCGGAGTTCATGGTTTACGGCGCAGACTGCAAGTTCTATAGCCCGTCTTGAGGTTGTTGTTTATGGGAGGTGTAGGGGACTACTCTGCTCTGAGGTGAGGTTACGCGCGAGCGGGAGATAGCGAACATCGAGGTCAATCGACATCATAGCTTCAGGTACCTTCCGGGGCTGGCGCAGTCCACTGGAGCGGTACGTAGTAGCTCCTGTACATTGCACTACGCACCAGGGCAGTGTACGCACGTAGGGCTACGGGCAGGCAAGGGGCCGACACCCAGCGACTACCTAGGTACCTAGGTACCTCTAGGTCCATATTGCTCTCTCCAGAAATGTGTCACAGTCGCAACTTCCAAGGACATAACCATGGAAGACACCCGGCAGTATAAGGCAGTAACATTGAAGCCAAACATTAAAAAGTCGGCTGTGAACGAACGGCATGACACATCCCATCGAATTTCTAAGTGGTTGACTAGGTACCTACTAACACGGCCAGACCGCTTCCATTGTCATCGCCTCAAGATTGCCATCTTTGTTCATGCTGTGACGACAATCCTCGAGACAATCGTAGGCTGATTCGGAGCAATTCTCTGCAAGTTCAGTCTGAAACGGGAAGGAAATGTGGGACCCGGTGTGCTGGACGGCCAAACGCCACAGCCTGAAGTTGTGCCAAGTTGATGCGGTGTTGAACTGAAGGACGAGGTCAGGCGGGAGAAGGGATGTGCAGGTGTGAAGGGTTCAAGTTGCTAAGGCCCAAGGGGCCCCCCACGCCAATGATGACTCGCGTTTCGCCCCACCTGTGACGGAGAAAAAGAGAAGGTGCCCAAGGATATTCACACGGGCAGACAGGTAGAAGGAACAGGGCAGCGGAAACCCCTCTGTACCTTGTGGCAGGCGTGGCCCACTCGCTAGAGGTACCTAGGTAGGTAGTGAACATGCCGGCAAACGAGGTACCACCTACGTCTGCCGCATTTACTCCAGATCAGGCGGGGCATTCTCCCGGCTTCTTTGGATTCTTCTTACTGACAAGCATCAATTTAGCCAATTAGCCCATTGTGCGCTTTCCAACCGGGTGAGTAGTTCTAGAACTGGAACTCCACTGAACACAAGGAAATCCAGCGGCGAGGCACATTGGCCAGGCGAGGCATAGTCGAAGTAGTGGGCAAAAAGAAAAAGAACAACCCCAACCTGCCCACTTTGTGGTCCTGCCCTGCTCGCCGCCCGTTGAAAGCAGATCCAACCAAGGACGACATCACAAACCTCGCTCGCTGCACCAACTTAACTTCAGGGGCGCCAGCAGCACTTCGTCTTCCTCATCTTCTTCACCACCCCAAAACCGCCAAGATGGATCCCAACGCCAACGAGGCCGAGAAGAACGTGAGTGGCTCATCATCATCCCTCTCCCGACTGCGCGCGCGCGCGCAAAAAAAAAAAAGAAAAAGAAAAAAAGACACAGTTCCCGACGTGATGTTCGCATGCTGACGAGATGCTCTTGTCCCTCATAGATTGAGATATGGAAGGTCAAGAAGCTGATCAAGCGTCTTGAGGCCGCCCGTGGAAACGGCACCTCCATGATCTCGCTCATTATCCGTACGTTTGTCTCTACCATAGCATTGTCACCGCCGTCTACCCTCCCTTGATCACATAGCGAGATTATTGGCAGTAATCCTCGCTGCTCTGCTGTTTATGGCCCAATGTCCAGTGGTGCTAACTCTTGATCGTCTCCAGCCCCCAAGGATCAGATCTCCAGAGCCGCAAAGATGTTGGCTGAAGAATATGTGCGTCACCATGCTTCCCTTCAATCTCGACACCATTGTGTCGGACAGTTGTTCCTGACTTAGCACTATAGGGCACTGCCTCGAACATCAAGTCGCGTGTCAACCGTCAGTCCGTCCTTTCGGCCATTACCTCGACCCAGCAAAGGCTCAAGCTCTACAACAAGGTGCCGCCCAATGGTCTTGTCGTGTACTGCGGTGAAATCTTGACCTCAGAAGGCAAGGAGAGAAAGGTCAACATCGACTTTGAGCCCTTCAAGCCCATCAACACCTCCCTCTACCTTTGCGACAACAAGTTCCACACCGAGGCTCTTGCCGAGCTTCTCGACTCCGACCAGAAGTTCGGTTTCATCATCATGGATGGTAACGGTGCTTTGTTCGGCACTCTCAGTGGAAACACCCGCGACATTGTCCACAAGTTCTCCGTCGATCTTCCCAAGAAGCACGGTCGTGGTGGTCAGTCCGCCCTGCGTTTTGCTCGTCTCCGTGAGGAAAAGCGTCACAACTATGTCCGCAAGGTCGCCGAATTGGCTGTCCAGTGCTTCATCACCAACGACAGGCCTAACGTTGCCGGTCTCGTTTTGGCTGGTTCCGCCGATTTCAAGAACGACCTGAACGCCTCCGACTTGTTCGATCCCCGTCTCCAGACCAAGGTTGTCAAGGTTGTCGATGTCTCGTACGGTGGTGAAAACGGTTTCAACCAGGCTATTGAGCTGTCCTCCGAGACCCTCGGAAACGTCAAGTTCATCCAGGAGAAGAAGCTCATCGGCAAGTACTTCGAGGAGATTAGCCAGGATACCGGTCGCGTCTGCTACGGTATTGAGGATACCCTCAAGGCTTTGGAGCTCGGTGCCGTTGAAACCCTCATCGTCTTCGAGAACCTTGAGGTCAACCGTTGGGTTCTCAAGGACAGCAACGGATCCGAAGTTATTCTGCATACTACCAAGGCACAGGAGCAGGCCAGCCGTGACGCTTTCATGGACAAGGAGACAGGCCAGGAGATGGAAGTTGTTTCCCAGGAGTCCTTCCTTGAGTGGATTGCAGAGCACTACAAGGATTTCGGTGCCACGCTCGAATTTGTCTCCGATCGTTCTACCGAGGGCAACCAGTTCGTCAAGGGCTTCGGTGGTATCGGCGGTATCCTCCGTTACAAGGTCAACTTCGAGCAGCTAGCTGACGTCAGCGACGATGATGAGTACTACGACGATTGACAAGTTGAATCCCTCGCCGACAACGAGGGACCCGGAACTCAAGCTATCCCGTCCGAGCCGACGACGACACCTAAAGCTGATTCAGCGCCGCTTCTCAAGCCAACCAGCTCGGGCAAAATGTCCGCAGCTCGCTCCGGCGCAAGCCCTCATCAGCCGGGTAACCACCAGGTGTCCCGCCCGAGCCCGCTTCGCTCTATGATGACGGCTTCTTGAGTTTGATTTAGTGGAATCTAAGGTATGGCATTTTCTTGTTTGATCGACCTCTGGCCACTCACTAACAGCCGCAACAGAATCAAATTGCCTATGACTGAAGCGGAAGTTCTACAAATGGGATCCAGAGTTGATTCTTCGCAAGTCTGACCAAGACCAACGAATGATTCATCCAAAATCCCTTAGCTGGACGCAAAGCAATACCTCAAGTTGGAAGATGGAAAGGATTGAATGTCTAGCGCGGAACCATGAGGAATGGATTTGCTTTTATTCCGGGGACTGACAGCGTCTGTCTTCATGAACACTCTTTTATGCTTTCAATTGATCAAAAACTGGGTTATGGAATTTTGGGTGGAAAAAATCAAACAGGTCGATATGAGAAATGGTTTAACTAGGGCTTAGTACGCGGTAGCCAAGGACCGAATTCCACGCTCATTCTGTCTTTGTTAGATCTTGATGGCTCTTGGTCTGGATTGTTCTTGATAACCGTCTCAAGGGTAACCATTTACAGTTGAGGCTCTCGAATGGTGCCCGTACCCCAAAGATCAATAAATAAATGAGCTGTCCTGTAGTACTGTTAGCGTAGATTCTAGGTTTCAAAAGCAGGGACTATGCAGTCCTCGGCGATCACAATGTCATCACTCGTTCATTGTGGGGCTGTCCTGAAAACGCGACTTTGATGAGGTCTGGGAAATCTGAAGCCGGTCGTCGGGGCCGGAGCGGGGCCCGGCGGTCGGACCTTTGAAAGGCAACCGCGTGTGGCCGGTCGAAACCAGCATGAAGACAACTCGGGATGGCCGGTGAGTCTGAGTTGGAATATCATGCAATAGAGCAGCTTGCTGCTCGGGGCAACGACACATGAATAGTACCCCGGGACTTCAAATTACTTTTTTCACCAAAAATCCGTCTACTGCGTCAGGTACCATGCACATGGGTCTTCCAATGCTCCGCTGCGCTCTATGAATGATTGGTCACTGGCACCTTTTATTCCCAACTCATACACAAATCAGGGGACTTAACTCTTCCAACTTCCTACATCCGTCCACGATAACCTAGGATCTCTTTGAGCGGTGATCTGGGTACGTGTGTTATTGAAAGCATATTGGACGGGTAGACAGTACGGTTGTGAACGGCCTGCGAAACATGAGCTCAAGAACGGCCACTGCGCCGACATCGGAAGGGACTCGCGAGAGGAGTCACCGGAGGAAGGTCGCCTTCTTAGGACCCTTTGCTTCATATTCTCATCAGGTATGTGATCCGCATGAAATGGGCTTAGAAGGGACGGTTGAGTGATTTTGAGTTACTCGTGGGCTTGATGGACTCGGGTCACCTTGGAGAATGGGAGCTATCGCGGCCTGTCAGGGTTGAGATAGTGCATTGAAAGGAGCCAGAAAAAAAAAATGGATAGTGAGACTATCCAACTTGAGGGAACGCTGAAAGGCTTCGATATGGCTGGAGAATCTATCATTCCCAGTGGTGTACATGAGACTAATATTATTGACTTGGGGTTGTTGCAACGTATAGGCGACAAAATCTGCCTTTCCAAACCAGGATAAGTGGGAACTCATCCCTACAACGACGATCAGAGGTCTGTTGAAGTCATGTTTTCTGAACACGAGAAACTTCACTAACACCGACTACAGAGGTCGTTGACGAAGTCCAGGCCTCCAATGTGGACTTCGGCGTTGTCCCCTTCGAGAACTCAACCCATGGCACCGTCAGCTTCACCCTCGACTGCCTTGCCGACCGCGCCTCTACCTACCCCAACATCACCATCTGCGGCGAAGCCTACCTAGACGTCCACCATTTCCTCCTAGGCCGGAGGAAGTCTTCCCTACTACCTCATGTTGACCAAAACGCAAAGGGGACGCCCCTAACTTCCCTCTCCCACGTCAAACGCGTCTACTCCCACCCCCAAGCCTTCGGCCAAACCGCCAAGTTCTTCGCCACCTACCTCAAGGGCGTCGAGACCATCGAGGTCTCCTCCACTAGCAAAGCTGCCGAGCTCGCTGCTGCTGACGCCACCGGCTCGAGCGCTGCCATAGCGGGTGAAGTAGCCGGCGAGATGGCCGGCCTGGATGTTCTTGCGCGCTGTATTGAAGACCGCGAAGACAACACGACCCGCTTCTTTGTACTGCGCAGACGGCCCTGCAGTAGCCGCAGCGACGATGGTGTCGAGCAGGAGGTGCAGCTGCCTGAGGGATTGCCGTGGACCACGGACCGAGTAGAGTCTCTGCTTGAGTCTCCAACCTCAAGATCGCCCCGTTCTCTGTCGCCTCGTCCCTCTTCGTCGGTTTCTGGCAGCAGCGGCGGGAGGAATGATGATACGGACAAGATTGACGCTTACAAGGGCTTGTACAAGTCTATGGTCTCGTTCACGGTGCCGCATCATACGCCCGGTGCGCTGGCGGATGTCTTGGGGTGCTTCAAGCGGAGAGGACTGAACCTGACGAGCATCAATAGCTTGCCGAGTCTGATTGCGCCGTTTCAATATCTCTTCTTTATCGAGTTTGAGGGTAACCGATGGGATGATCCGGAGGGGAGGGTGAGTGGGTTGGTTGGGGATGTGGAGTGGGTTGAGGGCGTGGCGGAACGGTGGAGGTGGTTGGGTAGTTGGTTGAATCAAAGGAGGAGGTAAAATGGAGGACATACTCATCGGACAGGATAGGCAAAAGATTGAGAAGGGGGGATCGAAAATAGACTGGCTGGTGTACATGAGGCGTGTCATATATGCCATGGGATGAAAAATGGGCTAGAGTATGGTACTCGAGCCTCGAGCATTGATTCGGTCAAGGTAACTGACGAGAAGTACTAGGAAACCTCCAGAGTCACCCAGCGCTTGAGATTATGCTGGCTCACGTTCGTCGACAGAAATCCTCAACCATCTGCAAATTCAGTGCGAAGCAAATGGATTAAGTCCTTCTTGGTGAGGCCATCCGCCACCTGGGGGTCTGCCTAAGGAAGGATGTTGAACAGAGTGCACATGAATCGATAAAGCGGCGCAACCAACACTTCTTTGGGATGGTTTCGCATTGTTGCTTCTCTTGCGATTGCTTTTGGTCTGTAATCCGAGTATCAGGTTGAGTCATCGTGATCCTGCCTCTCCAATCGGCAGCTCACCACCACTATTGAGCATTTTTGCTGTGCCTCGAACGCGTGTGGTCTTTGCGAGCATGACACTAAGTACAATCTAACCCTAGTTTGTTTGTTAGTTTGGTACAGAAAACGCCCATTTTCACTCTAGAGCTACCAACTGTAGGAAAGGCGTTAGATTTTCAAACAGACGGGTACCGAAAGTGACCACCCTCTTATATCTTCCAGTCTTGGGGTCCCTGAAGGAGACGGAGAGAGGCATAAGAAGGCTTCTGTGGCGTTTTCCACCCTGGCTATTGTCCCATGACGCTTCAAACGGAGGCCAGTTTCTCTCTTTGCAGGCCAATGAGAGCTCCAGAATTCCCCTGTTCAACCCATGACCGAAGAACCAAAGTAACAAACAAACCAGTACTGGATTGTAGTGTGGAAAGGGCCAAGAGCCTACTTCGAGAGATCAAATAAAGCCCTGTTTCATATGGCTATTCCGTCAAAGGTAGTATGTTCGAGAATCTTACTTCAACTGCTACTTAATAATGAGGAATCAGTGAACTGAACCAAGAAGTCAACAACGAAATAACAGCTGTAACAGTGTAGGAAGCCTACATTGAACGGGACATATGGTCTGATTTCCCAGAAAATGTCGTACACCTCCGATTAACAAACGCTTTTTTCCGTGACAGTTCTGTTTACTTTGTTTGTGAACTCTAACCTTGACGAATCCATGCTCAAAAAAGATATCAGAATCTCACCAGACGGCCACACAAACGAGTATGGCCCTTCTTCGGCGCCTCTTACGGCACGGCCAAGTTCGGAGCCATCTTTTCCACGGGTATTCTGAAGCCTGAGCAAGTTCCACGGAACATGGAAGCGCGGCCTTTGCTTTTTACGACGAGTTCTTTTACCATCCTGTGACTAGCATGATAGACTTAACAGCTTTCCAAAAACCTCCCAACAATTATGGCAGCCAACGACTATCTTTCGTATCAACCACCTCGTTTTGCGCTGCAACTCACGAGCCGACAGTGTCAAACTTACAATCACCCCAACTACCGCTTTTGTTCTAGATTCTAGTGGGGCCAGGTTACTCTGAGCATAAATGAAATTTCCATCTGGTTCTTTCGAACTTCTTCCCCTTTTCTTCCTTGTACCTCACCCCTCCGTCACTCCGTCACTGACCTGCATACCCCTCCTGCAATTCTATAACGCTTCTGACATTCAGCTCTTCTGATATCTTGTTGACTGCAGAATCGTCTTCACCAAAATTCTCCAAGCAGCCATGGAGGCAGTCCAGACGGGCGACAAGCTCATGGAGGCAATCGCCTCGGCGGATGAGTCCACTCTTCGCGCAGTTCTGCGCGGCCTTTGCGCTAAGCGTGAGGTTGAACAACTCATCGGCAAGCATTTTTATGAACTGAACAAGTTCAGCGCGGCCAAGGGAGGAAGTTCTGGCTCCAAACGGAAAGCGACGTCTCCCGTTCATATCTGCGTTGAATGTGGCCAGGCTTTTGAGGAAGACGACAATAAGAAGGAATGCCGCTACCACTTAGGTATGTGTGCGACTTCTGCCTCTCTCCTTGGACAGGTAGCTAACCGGCGAATAGAGGAAATGGAATTCGACGAGAATTCATCCATATGGGCTGACTATGACGAGAATTGCTTTGGCGTGATGGATTCGGAAGAGAACCGTCGTAATCCTGACACCCTCGGGGGATTCGTGTATCCATGCTGCAACAAACGAGCCGATGAGGCAGAAGGGTGTAAATTGGGTTACCACCGGGCCGTTGACGGCAAAAGAGGAAGGTTTGATTTTGATGCATCGGCCGATGAGAAGGACGAAGGGGAGGATGACGAAGAGCAAAAGGAGGATGAGTAAAGCGATAGCAACCGCAAACAAACGAGGCGATACCACACAATCCAGCACTGGTATGTTTGTTAGTCTTGTACAAAAAAGCTAAGGCTTTACTAGGTGTATAAGATATTTTAGCCCTCTATAAAGAGTTCAGTTATACAGGCTTATTATCCAATTTTGAAGGCCTTGAAGGAAATGGAGGGAGGCATTGGAGGACACCCATCAGAGGCTTCTGTAGTAGCATCACAAACCCGTACCTTTATCCCATATCGCTTTACACAGAGAACAGTTCCTCTTTTGAAAGGATGATAAGAGCTCCAAAACCTCCCAATTTAACCCATGATCGCAGAACCAAACTATCAAACCAACCAGCATGATATTATAATCCCAAAGGAGGGGCTCATTCTACTGAGTGCGGAATGGATTTTCTCCTAGGTTGTCTCCCCCGTTTCTTCCCTCAGATATCATCTCTTCGGAATATGGCTACCTGCTCTTCCAGCTATCCAGAACCCCCCTTGGACTTAGCCTTTTCCATATGTTTCCATGAAAACGCCTCCTCATACCTCTTCAGGTGCCATGGAGAACGAATCCAAGGACGAAAAGCTCGCAGAGGCAATTGCCTTGGCCGACGAAACCAGTCTTCGTGCCGTTATGCTCGCACTTAGCACCAAGTCGGACGGTATTCGAGACCAGATTAGTGATTGCTCATTCTTAATACTCAAGTAAACCCAGTAATCACGGTGTGAATCCAAAGGCGCCGTTTCCCGCTTAGATCTGTAGGCGCTGCGGCGACGCTTTTGACAGCAACAACAACAGAAAAAAAAAACAATGCCGCCTTTATCAGAGCAAATAAAGTCAGCAACGTTTTGCAACCTCCCTGTTATAAATGTCTAAAATGATGTGCAGAAAGCCTGGTGATCGACTCCTGCTTCAAAATGTGGGCTTACTGGAACTTCAATTTTTATGGTCCAGGGGATACGCCGGAGAACCGCAAGAAGGACCACCTTTAGGAAGGGCCCGTGTATGCTAGCTGTAACAAGCACCCTCTTCCCTAAAAGGAAACCGGCTGCAGAAGGTGTTAAAAGCAGGCTCCTGATGGCAAAAGAGGAAGCCCTGATATTGAAGATCCTGCTGATGTGACGTGTCGCTTGGAGTGGGATTCGGTTGAGCTTGACGAGGACGCGAATGAGGAGGAAAAGGACTAGAATAAGCAGAATGAAGAAAGTGGGACGATGGTCAAGCTTGTCGTGGTGATGATCTTGAGATCGAGGGAAGGAAGACAAAGTGAAGATGACCGAGAACCTGGAGTATTTCTCAATGCAAAAATAAACAATAAAAGAGAATTACAGTATTACCAAACGCTATGCTATGCTCGTTCGTGAACCATTTCCTCCTCATCCTCATCAACGTATTTCTTCCTCGTCCGCCTCCTCTTAGGATGGCGGCGAACCTGATCGTCCTCTTCACTCTCATTCCATGACTCAGTTCTCTCTCTGGCCTGCTGATTTTCCACACTCTCAGCAATCGCATTTTTGCCTTCACTCTTCATTCCCTCTATAGGCGGGACTCCAAGCCTCGATTCCTCAAACAACATCGTACTCCTGTCCCCAACATCCATCACCTGTTCCTCTGTAATCCAGCCCTTCTCCACCGCAAAGACCACCACATCCCCCGCCGCACCGAAACCAATGCTCCCTTCTTGCTTCACATCATCCACTTGCTCTGGGTCCAAGTACCTCCACATCTCTTCTGTTTCCTCCCTCCACGCTTTAAGCTCGCGTTTATCCCCTTTAAAGTGTTGACAGAGGTAACTGTAGATGTATGACAGCCATAGAACATTAGTGTACGGGTAATATCCCGCCCAAGAGATCGGTTTTCCTTCAGGCGTGTTGTCGAGCAAGTGGGAGCGCATGAGTCGGTAGATATCGCACTGAGGCGCGTGCGTCGAAGTGAACATCGCCGGGTCTTTTTCCAGATCGTAGAAGACGACTGCTTCCTCTTTGACTTCTCTGTCGGCCGTAGTCTTCCGTCCGATAGGTGATGTCAGACATGATTCTACATCAGGCCCGATTGTCTCTGGATCCGTAGCCCTTGAAAGACCATAATCCAGAATGGTAACCTCCAATCCTGACCAACCGAACTTGACTCCTCCTCCTCCTCCTTCTCCCGTCGTCTCATCACCTTCGGCCGGCTTCTTCTGCCGCGCACCCTTGACCCTTCTCACACACAAATTCCCCTCATGCAAATCCCGATGCTCAAACCTCACCATCCCCTCCGCCCTCGCCATCGCTACCGCCGTACTCAGAAAGACATCCCACAATATATCCTCCCCCGTTTTCACTTCAACCATGAAATCCTCCAACGCCGTGCCCGCGTCTCCCAACTCCACCACCAGAAACCTCGTGCTCTCCAAATACCGACTCGGAGACGGATAAAATTGCGCCCTTCCGGGGTCCTTCCTCTTCATCTTCCTCTGAAACACCTGATGCGTCTCCAACAACTCCTTTGTTCCTTTGCCTTCGACAATGAACCGCTCCTTGTAAATAACGAACCCCGGAATGTCGGCTAGCCATTCACTGATTTTCAATTCGCCTTGCAGGTCCGATTCGGCGTGGGGCTCTTCGTCCACCAACCCAGACTTGATCTGGGCTTTGGTTTGCGGTTTGATGGGTGATTGCAACCGGATCACTTTGATGATGGACGTCCCGCGAGGGTTGGTGATGCGGTAGACTTCGGCGTAGGAGGCTTCGGCTATTTTCGTAATGGAGTTAAGGGGCGAGGGGGGACCGCAGATGTCGGCCCAGGAAAGGGTATGGAAGGAGGAGGTATCGTAGAAGGAGTATTCTTGTTGTTCTTGGTGGTCTTGGTCTTGTTGGTGTTGATGAGGGTTGGCTTCTTGGATAAGTTGGCGGACTCGTGGGGATTTGAGGGGGAGTTGTTGTGGATGGCGGTTAGTTGGGGACTTGGTTGTGGGTGGTTGAAGTGTTGCTGGACTTGGCTGTGATGGAGATGCAAGTTTTCTGAATGGAGAAAGTCGTGGAGATTGTGATGACAGTGATGTCCTAGGTGGTGGTGGTGGTGGTTGTATGGAGGTATTGTAACTCGTATAACTTCCTATTGAAGGTCGCGGCGTGGATGCGTAAGGCGCATCTTGGTGATCGTCCTCTTCATCAAGCAATATCGAGTCGAAGTGTTCTGTAACATCATGAACATCGTCCTCATCGGACATCGGTTCCGGTTCTGGGGCTGGTTTCGACTCGTGGTGCTCATGGTAGGCCGGATTGGGCTCCAAGATTTCGGGCTCCGAAATCTGTAATGGTTTCGGCTCCAGAATCTGTGGTATGGGCTCTCGGCGTGGCTGTTTCACCGGAGTCTTGGGCAGTTCCGCGAAAAGCAGTTCTGCTCTGCTCTTCGTGGTTGGCTTTCCGTATTTGCGGACCTTTGTTTTGGTTGTAAGTTTCGACATTTTTGCATCTTACTCCTCGGGAGTGTTGCAATAGGCCAGAAGAAAAAAACGAGAGAAGTGCATGCGACCGTATTGACGATTAGTTTTCATACAACAAGGCCGTCAAGGTTCTTTGACTCGTGCATCGCAACCCATACTCCTCCTGATTCGTTGATGATCGTTTGTTTTTTGTTGTCAGGACAACCGCGTTTTGAGGTTCTCTCAAATAGCAAGGTCCAAGGGCGCACGGGCCATCTTCCACACCTGTATGAATTGGGAGGATGTACTATGGTTCCTAATACGATATATGGTATATGATAGTGGTTATGAAAGGATATATGTAGACGATGAGAAGCGTAATTGTCAAACCACACATGTTCGAAATCGATTTTCATTTCTACCTCCTTAGCCCTTCGCCCACTTCCTTCCCAGCCACATTTCCACAAGGACGACACATGCCTAGTACTTAAGTTGCCATAAGGGTATCGTACGCGCACAGTAACACTTCGAAACTCCATCGGAGAGAAGATCCAAAATCCGTACATCATGTTGTATATCACCGCTTGCTCTCTTTCTTTCTTTCTTTGACAAAATTTCCGGACCCAAACGTCGATGAACCCGCCCGTCCACCCATCCTCTTCAGCCTACCACCCTGCCTAGGTATCCATCAGTATTAAAACGTCCCTTTCAGGTTTCTTTCATGCAAAGGTTGCTTGCTTCTAGCTAAAAATATTCTCTAACCATCCACCCCCACCCATCACCTATCATCACTGCCTCTTTCATCTCATCAACAATCCCTTTATTTCGCCGACCTCTTAAAGGCAAGCAGCTCCGCCAAGCTGCTCAAGGGACATCCATGCTTCAGGAAATCGTGCTCGATGAGCTCATCCGCCGACGCACGGCTCTTGACATCCACGCAGAGACACACCGACAAGAAAGCTTTCAGCTCTTTACTGAGCTTCTCGGGTTTCTTCAGCCTGGGAGTACCGTTGGTGGCGATGAGGTAGAGGGCCTTGAGCGGCTCCTCGTTCAGGTAAGGAGGCTCCGACTCGATCAGCTCAATGGCCATGATACCGAGCGACCAGATATCGACCTTGGGGCCGTACTCCTTCTGCTTGACGACCTCGGGAGCCATCCAGTAGGGCGTGCCGACCATGGTAGCGCGTTTGGACTTGGCTTCGGTCAACTTGGCGCAGAAACCAAAATCGGCTAATTACAGAGTTAGTTGAGCGTAATGAAGGACAAGTTGTAGAAAAACTCACTAATCTTGACATTGCCACGGGCATCCAAGAGGACGTTGTCACTCTTAATGTCACGATGAATAATGTTCCTTTCGTGGAGATGCTGCAGACCGCGGCATGTCTGTACAAGTTCCAGTCAGTAAATGATATCACGCTCAAGATTAGGCCTGCACGGCAACTCACCTCCAAGCAGATGGTAGAAATCTGCTCCTCCGTGATAACGGGGTTATTCTCAATGACATCAGTCAACGCACCACCCTCCATGTACTCCATGACGACCCAGAGTTCCGAGTCCTTATTCTTCAGGAAAGCTTCGACAAAGTTGACAATGTTGGGGTGACTGCTGTCCTTCATAACCATGATCTCGTTCACGATCAACTCCTTGCGCGGCTGGTGCGCGAGATCCATCTGCTTGATCGCAACCTGGCCGCGTCTTCTGGCAACGTTGGGGTCCTGGCCGGGTCTCTCTCTGATCTTGGCTACGTACACGGAGCCAGAGGCACCCTGTCCGATCTTCTTCTGCTTGGAATACTTGGCTTCGGGGTCTTCGTGGGATACAACTTCCCTGAGCTTCTGCATAACCTCCTTCTCCGACATGGTCGACATGCGAACATCCTTGGAACGCTCAGAGGCAGCGGGCTTAGACGTAAGGGCTGCTTCGGCAGCCTTGACGCCATCTTGAGGCTGCTTCGGACCCACATTAAGCGGCTTGACGGTCGTAGGAATCTTGGATGGCTGGTTGGCCGATGGGTGAGGTGGTCGTGGCGGGGCCTGGCCATTCTGGTTCCGTTGCGCCTGAGCCTGCTGTTCGGCCCGTCTCTGCGCCTGCGCCTGGGCAAGATCACGCTGTGAGCTGGAACTGGACTGCTGTGCGACGGGCGGGCGGCTCGAACTGGAACTTGGTGGAGGAGGCGCAGGTCTCTGAGCTTTGAGACTCGGTGCTTGCTGCAAGCCCTTGGGTGCTGGTGGAGCGGCGCGTGTTGGGTTGAAGCGATCGGCACCACCATAACCACCACCTCCAATCTCCTGCTGAGCCATAGGAGTCTTCGTCTTGGGAAGGGACGCATTATAAGCTTCCTGATCCCGGCGATCCCGCTCCTCCATCTCTCTCTGCTGGCGCTCCAGTTCGCGCCTTTGCTCCTCTCTCGCGCGCTCAGAGTTGTAGCTCGGCGACGCCTGCTGGCGCTGCTCGGGGGGTGATGAGCGAGAACTGGCGCCACCTTGCTGCTGCGGCGAGGATGGATAGTTGGAGCTTGGGTTGCGCTGTTGCAACGGCTGCGTAGGGCGCGGCGGCGCGACGGAGTTTCCACCGCTCGGGTATCCGAGCTGCTTGCTCTGTGCGCTGTTCGATGGGGGAGTGGGAAAGTTGGGTGTGGGCGCTTGGCCGCCATTCTTGTTGAAATCGGAATAGAAATCGAGGACTTCAAAGACGGCTTGAGGGTTCCTTTCGTAGTCTTCTTGGGTAATGGCGGAAGAGTTGAGCAGCTTCGACCACTCAGGAGGCAGGCCGACGAACTCGCCGGTCTGGGGATCGAATCCAACGTGAACGGCGTGCGAAAAGTTGGTAGGATTACTGACACCGCCCATGCCTGGGCAGCGCGCGTAAATAAAGTCAATCCATTCATAAAGGTCGTCGTCGGCCTTCACGCGGATCTGAAGGGTCCTAATGCCATTTTCCTCCTCTCCGGGACTCGTGGAGGCACCGCTAGACTGCCTCTTGATCTCGAAAATAGTTCCTGCGGCCTCCACACGGCCGACATTGATAACGTCCTTGAGGTAGAGGGTATAGGCAACTTTACTGCTCTCGGCCTTGTGGAAATCCAGTGACTCCTTTCGCAGGATCAGGTACTTGTTCTTCCAAGGGTTGATGAAGTTCTTGCTCTCCTTGACACTGGCCCAACCTTGCTTGATGACGGCAAGGCCGCCGGTGCCGTCGTTGTTTGACATTTGTCGTTGGATGGGGAGGGCGATGGTCGAGCCGCTGTATGTACTAGTTACCCCTGGGGCAGGCGACCGGAGGCTCAGGTTGGACATGTTCCCAGGAAGGTTGGAGATGTTCCCGGGTGAATTGGTGTTGGGGGTGAGGCCGAGGCGGGGCTTGTCCGTGGGAGGTCGCGGCGCTGGGCCTGGGTTCATGAACGGCTCCCTCGAGTATATGTTGCTGTGGTTTAGGTTGAGGTTAGCATAATGTCCACAGACCCTGCTAGATTTCCAACAGGGGAAGGAATGAAGATGGGCCAAGGTAATGAAGCGAAGCTCCACTAGGGAAATTGTCCAAGTAGCGGGAGCGAGATGTCATGTGGGAGAGGAGAGATTTGCGTGGTTGGGCGGAGTGGGAGAAGCATAGCAGAGGGCGGGCATACCCATTTTGCGCCATTGTGCCGGATTGCAATTACTCCTTGACTAGAGATAGGTCTGGTCGTTCTGGAGCCAGAAATAGACTGCGCGTAGTCGCGACGATCCCCTGAGTTGCGGGACCTGGAGTGTGACGGGTGTGCTTCCTATTGTCGCCGGGTCAATAGACGGTTCGAAAGGCGGGGTTGCGCATATGGTGGCAGGGTCGCCAACGCACCAGGAGGCCCAAAGATGAAGCCGGCTCCGTCCGAAAGACAAGGCGCAATGTGTGCTAAAAGAATGGACCAGTATCAAACGGTGATTGTATGGTCAGTTGGCACAGGTGGGTTTGAGTTAGAAAAGGACTAAGCGAGTCGATTGCGACAGGGGAGAAGCAGCGACCAAGGAGAGGGTCGGTTCAGGCGCGTTCGAGCAAGACCAACAGGCGACTAAGGCGACATGTATTTGCGGTCCTGGTTCGAATACTTTTTGTTTCTTTAGTTGGATGCCACGGAGCGAAAGGCAGATTCAAGGCACGCCTCGTCGCAGTGCTGTGTATTGCTGGTGCTGGTGCTGGCTGCTGTAGTGAAAGACAGAAAGCCGAACGATGCGATGGCGGTCAGGCCAGACGATTACCTGTCTGGTTCGCGAATCTGCGTTATCCTTGACGCCGGTGATCAACGGAGACAGGCTGGCGGGTGTCAAAGGGCAAGATGAGAGACAACGCTCGGAGTTGAAAGAAAGATGAGCAGAGTCGAAAGGGGTTGGCAAGGACTCCAGGTCGGCGCTGTGTGAGGTTGCAGTAGTAAGGGGTACACTACTGGTATTATTGCCTGTATGGGGCAAAAACGTGTAAGGGTCCTAGGATCCCGGTCGAGGTTTTGGTGCATCCAGGTTGTGGTGTCTTTCTTCTGGTACTTAGGTGATCCCGTCTTCTACAACAACCAACGACAGTACACTAGGTACCTACCTACCCACCTCACATATACCATCCATAACTACCTTACCTACCTACGACCTATGGTCCAGACGCTCAACCCAGGAACAACAACAAGCGATACGGGTGAGATGCCGTCCAGATGCCCTACTGTCTCCTCTTTGCGCTGAACATCTCTCACCACAGCAAGTTGAATGGTCGGATCCAAGAGTGGGAGCAGGGGCATTGTAAGGGTCCATCAAACCGTCAGTTACAGCTGCGGCACCCGTTAGAGCGACCATTGAACGTTGAAGCCTTGGACGATTAGCGTGAGAATAGTGGGGAACGGGGCAGATGCAGTGCGCCAACGTGTGGAAGTGGCAGAGTAACCAAGACTGCGGCGGGAAAGGGGGGGACAGCGCCGCGACCAGTCAGATCCATTGCAGACTTGAGAACGGGTACGTCTTCATCTTACTGCCTTGGCTCGGATGGATACCGAGATACTTGTTCTTACAACACATTTGTGCCTA